AGCAGTTAGGAAGCCAAGCGACAAGAGTTTTCTCTCCAAGTCTGATGTGTGGTAAACAGCGACTGCTGCAGACTATATTTACACATCATCTCCTGGGTACAACACACCCTGCTGCCTGTTAGAGACGAGGAATACTCAGATATGAGAGACGTGAGCCTTGTCTGAGTCCTCTATCTAATCCCGCACGTCCACGCACATGGAGTTAATATCCCGATGTTTAACTCGCACAAAACCAGTCTGAGTGATTCAAGGTCCCGGGGCCGGCAAACCCGTAGCCTTGGGTGAAAATTAATTTGCAAAATGACCATTAAAAGGTAAAGCGCTACCTAAAAGGTCGGAGTGAAACGGCAGCAGCATGCGTTATAGGAATTTACGCCCCGAGGCTTAAAGATAGCATGAATATACATTAGCAGCACGGGTGAATCGGAGGTTAAATGCAAGCAAACGCCAGTCAAAATCCTAATTATCATTACCGCTAATCACCCTGTTCTGCAGCTGATCACCGACACAGCAGCCCTCCTGCTCACACACCCACACACACACACAACACATGCATTCGTTAGGTCGTAATGAAAACAAATGAAGGCCTTGGCAGCGAAAGAGCTGACTGGTACCGATTCTGTGGGTGAGACCAAATAGGACAGATAAAACACAACAAGTAATGTTAATTAATGGAAATGAAATAACGACGTGCCAGTCCGCCGTGTGTGTGTGTCTGTGCTTCATTTACACTTTTTTTTTTTTTTAAAGCAGAGGAAACTTTGTGCTCCATCCGGATAATAATTTTGTCCGGATGGACGTCACACAGTAAAAAAAAAGAAAAAAAGCTTATCTCTACTTGGATACTCTGTCCTCCCTGCTATCTCAAAGTCAGTGTGCACCCTCTCCTCCTTCCTTCTCCTCCCCCTCCTTCCTTCTCACCTATGTTTAATCCGTCTCCAAAATCCCTCCGCTCTGCCCGGGTCTATTCGACTCCTGTCTTTCCTGGCCTTTGCCCGTTCCATCTGTGATGTTGCGCGTCCTCCTAGCCCTGCCTTATGGTTCCCGTAGTTTTTGCTGCTTCTCCAGCCTGCTGTCTCACTGTCTGTGAAGTCTGCGCTCCTCCTGTTTGGCCTTCACTGTGTGAGATGTGTGTATGTGCTCTGTGTGTGTGTGTGTGTGTCCTCCTTTCTCCTCTCCAGTCACAGTAGAGTCTTTCGCCTTGTGTCTCTCCGTGTGAGGTCTGCGCGAGGAGCTGCAGCGAGTCAGCCGTGTTTAACAACAGTGGTTAAATATGTCCAGGAATTATGTCGGCCACGTCCGTCGTTCTCATCGTGACAAATGTATTCCTCGGTTTATTCAATTACTGGCTGTATTTTTATTCACCTTTCGTTAGAAAATTAATGAAATCGAGAGCATGTAAACCAGCAATAAATCGTATCTATTTATGAATGTATAATGTTAGGGGCTCGTTCGCAATCAACGGGCAATGGAAAATACTAACAGCAGCACAAAGTGCAGACGACGGACAATTTCCTCGCCATTCATGACAACTCTTGGTGTTACTTTAACTGCCAGTATAATTGATTTCAATACATTTTTAAAGACCGAGAGTGGCAGGAAAACTCAAACAACCTTGAATTGAAAGTGATCATTTTGTTTAAAATATCCACATACTTTAACCGCTTAAATCTGTGGCATTTGGCCAAATGCAATGGAATCATACAGAGATGGGCAACAAATTTGTCAACATTTACCGGAGAAGATTGATTCTGTTAACACTGAGTAAGGACTAAATCGAAAAATCATTTGGCAGCTGTGAACTCTCAAATGTTTTTTTGTTTTTTTTTTCAAACTTTAGGATTGGTACTTTCAAAATCAGTCTATCATTTGGCAGCTGTGAACTCTCAAATATTTTTTTGTTTTTTTTCCAAACTTTAGGATTGGTATTTTCAAAATCAGTCATTTGACATTTCCAAGTTATACATAAGGAGTTGTGATAATTTCATTGTCAACAAATGTGGAGATGATGCAACAAAAATTTAGGAGGAAAATGTCAAATTAAAAGGAAAAAAAGAAATACTATACAGTACTGTTATTATACTACATGTTGTACAGCCACTGTGCTAACTGTACACATCTGTGTCCAGGTCAAATCTATTTAGGTTGACAATGACTCTGAGGCCTCTGGTTTTCATGACTCAATTCATTGTCAATATAGAGAAAAAAAAAATCAAGTAAAATATCTAGATATTCTGTGCGGGATTGTTCATTTGCAGTGTTATCTGTTCGGTCTGACAAATACTGTGTTAAATATTACTACAAATCCCGGGACCATCCAATATATCAGTCCAATTTTTTATTCTTTCATTTTTCATTCAATAATTCAAAAAAACAAACAAACAAGGTTTTAATAGAATAGAGTGTTTTCTTATGAGAATCCCTTATCAGAGGGAGGGCCACACACACACACACACACACACACACACACACACACGAACACAAACATGCCCTCTCCCATCAGTGGGTACCACCGAAATGTCCCCACTAGAAAAAGTGTCCCCACAAGTACAGCTCCACCAGTACGCACAAAAACCGGTCATAAAATTTGACAAGCACGTCTCCTATAACCTTAATCTTAATCCTAACCCCAATTCTAATCCTTACTCCGAACCAAATCTTGAGTATTCTCTCAAATGTGCACATGAGGACGAGATGTCCCCGCAACAGCGGTAGTCTTTCAACACTGTCCCCACGAGTGCCTCTATACCAGTAAATCCACACAGACAAACACTCACTCACACACACACTTACACGTAAGCTTGCACGGACAAATGAAATTACTAGCCGGAGAGGCAAACCGCAGGGCAAATAAAAACCACGTGCCTTACTCGCTGATGATCCTTAATCTCATTGCTTTAAGTGCACAGTAATGACTGAAGCCGACTCATATGAGCATATCCAGATTTTTATCAAATCCCCACCCCACCCCCCCCTCCATCCATCCATCCACTCCCCGCCTCCACCCCCCCTCTTCCCTCATCTGCACTCTGGTGGTTCCACAGTACGGGAACAATGATTAGAGCCATTTCAAGTATGGAAATCTTTCTCCTCTGAAATAAACAGGATTACAGAAAGTAGAGTTAGACGTTCCCAACACCGCTGGTGGAAATTGAACTTCTGTCTCCCCGTCACAGGACGGATTATCATCACCATGCCGATGCCGGTCTAGCTTTCTGCCTACACCGGTTATTGTGGCTGGGAATTTTAATGACTGATTTGTTTAATTTGTGCAGTCTTGCGGAATGAAGTCGGGAATAAACAACCGAGGCCATTGGAAGGTTAGAGCTTTGCTCTTTTTCGCCAAAAAGGAAATACCCGACCTATGACGAGCTGATTTGGTTTCTGTGGTGGCTCAGATATATTTCGTTAGCCTCTGGTCTTTGATGAGATCTAAGACTGAGTTGGAGTTGGAGAGGAACCTTGTGATTTCCTGTGTTTTCTGTTCAGATGGGCCGCCTTTCTTTTACCCCGTGTTGTGTTTGCTGCTTCAGGTGGTGAAACGGCAGAATAGATTTGTGTAAGTGGACTCTTTCATCTGGAGCCTCCACAGCCTCGGGGAATTCCCCACAGTCGTCCGATGTGTCCGACTCCTTTTTTTTTTTTTTCTTTTTCTCGTCTATCCCTTGATGCTTCTCTTTACCCCGCTCTCACAACATAAACGGCGTGTTTTCCCGCTTTGATCGCATCGTTCCGGCTCTTCCCAACATTCTACTAGTGTCAGGTGGGCAACTGGGAAACTACAATACCTCCGACTCCACATAGTACAGGAGAGGACAGGAGAGGAACTTCTCATTACAATGGTCTCTCTCCCTCCCTCTCTCTCTCTCTCTCTCTTCACGGCTTCAGCTCGTCTTTTTGTCTCTTTGTAATCTCTCCTTTCTCCGTACACACTGGAACCTCCTTATTTCTGGGCATGTGTCAAATGGTAATTTAATCTTTTATATCGGTGTTTTGTATTTGGCAGTAGCTCTGAGCAGACAGTCCGGGGGTATAGGGTTTTTTTTTATTATAATGGGATCAGTAAGCCAGCGAATATGCTTATCGTACAGTTGGTGGGGGACATTTTTGATTTTTTTTTATCGGAAAGATGATGAATTTTGGATTTATTCATTCATCTTCCGCTGCTCAGACTTTTTAGGTTCGCAGGACAAAGGCAGGGGAAACCTTGGGCAATTGTTCAATTCCAGACTTGTGCATTGAAACTGCAATATCCAAAGCACGCTTTATGTTAAAAAAAAAAATTACTACACAGAATTGGAAGTTAATAGTAGTGGGTATCAAACTGACTCGGAAGTCCCCCGTTTGAGTCGATCGATTGAAAACTCCAGTGAACTTTATTTAAAAACTGCTTTCACTCATTGAAAAGTTACGACATTTTCCCCCCCAAAAATTCCCATTCCCTGTAGAGGGCGTTAACCCCCGCCACTGCAACACAAGAGCATTTAGCAGACTTTTTTTTTTCACATCGCTTCACTGTGATTGCATTTTTCTGAACACAAAAGGTGAGGAGGAAAACAAACTTTTTTTTCTGTTGTCAGGCTACTGTATATTCAGGAGTAGTAGTTGACCGGATGATGATGAGATTGAGTTTAGGGCAGTACCCGGGCCCTCCTGAGGGGGGCGCAGTGGGGTGCCAGAGGGGTCCTGAGGGGCTTCCAATGGAATATGGCACACTGGACATAAGTGTACCACTGCTGTAATGCTTGAATGATAACAAGCCTCCATTCACTAGGGGGCAGCAACTCATACAGTGTGGGTCGGGGGGGTGAAAACATTTCTGTCCCCAAGCCAAGGGGGGGGGCATGAGAGAAAATATATAAGAACCACTGCGATAAGAAAACAGTTGTTAACTTGTGTCCTTTTCTTTCTCACCTTCTGCTTCCTCTATTCCATTACCCATCATCCTCTCTCCTCTTCCCCCCCCCCCTTCTGTTCCGTCTTCTCTACCCCCTCCGCAGGAACCGACCTGTTTTCCAACTGCACAGAGGAGTGCAAAGCCCTGGGCCACTCTGACCGCTGCTGGATGCCGTCCTTCGTGCCGTCAGACGGGCGTCAGGGTCCGGACTACCGCAGCAACCTGCACGTCCCCGGCATGGACGCCACGCTGCCCGACACTGAGGTACCCGCCTCCGTCAACCTCTCTGAGCAGCTGACCTTGACCTCATCCACCGCCTCGTCCAACGATAGGTCATTCTCCACCTTTGGCAAGGAGGGTCAAAGGTCACAGTCACACCACAGCCTCCACCAACCCCTCCATCAGCAGCAATACAACTCCAGCACGCTAGAGAGGAAAGAGTATGATAGGGGGACCCTACCATACAAACCCACCTTTATCTGTGAGTATCAGTATGAAAGCTCCCCCGGACCCTACGACCTAGGTCTGGTCCAGTACAGATACTAAAGGGGACCATGAATCCGCCTGATCCTGATTCTGATCTGGACTTTATGTTTGCTACCTAACTTCTTTTCTTTTTTTCAAGAAGCTTCTTTTGTTTTCATTTTTATTTTATAATTTTATTTGCTTTGTAATTTATACTTTTTATGCCGACTGTAAAATGTTCTCTCTCTATTGCTGCCCCCCCTTTTCTCCGACGCGCCGTTTGAGTTTTCCAATCTAACCCCATCCTAACTCATAAAACTGTGTGTAACCACAAGGCTTATTTTTAAAATAAACACAATTTGAATTGGACGTTGGACATGAAACGGTTGTTTTTTTTTTGTTTGTTTTTTTTTCTTTCTGTTTTTTCCTTTTTCCCCTCTAAATTCTACCCCCTGGAAATTCATTTTTATCTGATGCTCATACAAGTAAAGGTCATCACCACATGTCACACCTTATTTCAACATGTTCACAGCACACAGCTAAAAACAGGAAGGGTTAAAAAAAAGGCTCTAAATATAAACGTAGAAATAAGGGTAGATTGTCTTTCCATCTGTTCAGCAACAAACGTTTTGCTCAAGAACAACAACTTCCCGTAAAAAAAAAGCAAAGAAGCCCTCAAAGGTGAAAAACCGCCCACTCTTCAATTTTCCCACAAGGAATGAAGTCCACGTTGTTCTCCAAACAAAAGTCTCGAGTATACACAGTACACACTCGCTTGTCTGCGGATCAATTCCCGACATGACGGATGGTGGGAGGGGTGAGCCACGGAGCCCAGAGTTCATGATGCAAAAGTCACAAGTTTGTATTTTGCCTTCTGCTTTTTGCGGTGGGGGAGAGAATATGTTCAATTTGGCAAATAAAAGATACTTTGCATTGGAGAGGAATTCAATTTCTGCTCCGCGTTTCTGAAGGAAGTGAGTGGGCTTCTCTTATGAAAGGACGGCAGGGCACTATTTGTCGATTTCAATTGCTTTCCGAGCGTTCCCACATTACATGAATATTCTATTAGCCCTAAGAGTAGAGAATGGATTCAACGCACACATTCAGTGCCGAAGTCATTTCCTGTCAAGTCATCGCTGTGTTAACTGGGGCTGCACAATATGTCCGAAAACTTGATTGTGATGCAATATAAAAAATACCATGTACTGGCTTAAATTATGTTTTTTTTTTTTCAAACAAACATATACAGGGCAGGTAAAAAAACTCGGAGCAAAACTTTTTAGTTTGCAAATAAATGAAAAATAAATATTCAAAAGCTCATTAGATTATAATAAACCATATGCATATATATTTTTTACAATAATATGCATTTTTTTATACATTGAAGTATGACGTTATTTCAATTCACAATACCCTATTGATATTCTATAGCACTTTTTTATTAACAATTAACATTCAAATATTCATGTCTCTTCTCTAGCGATTACAAATATAGATCCCTCTGTTCCAATTTTAGTACATAGATGTTAAACATGTAACAGCATTGTGTATTTACTATGCTAACACTATGTTTTCCTACAATTAAATTGTAAAATAACCTATAAGTACCTATAGTATCGTAGCATATCGCAATATATCGTATCATAGCCCCTTCATTGGGATTCGATCGCATCCATCAATACACACCCCTAGTCTTGGACCATATTGAGGCGCCCATGCTAGCTGTCTGTTAATACAGTTAAGAAGGAGTTTCCACATATCACTCAATTACACTTTTATGCGACATCCCAAAGTTCCACATATCACACGAGCTTTCTATTTAGCTTTCTATTTGCTTTCGCATATGGTGCGGCCTCAGTGTTATCTTCCATTCTCCATGACACTGCATGTTGACTGTGGGCTGTTTCTCAGGTAAATGTTGCATGAAATAACTTCTCTTTCTCCATCTTATTGTTCCTTGTTTTTCTTTCTTGGAAAACAGAGTTGGCCAATGCTCCTCTTTACGCATTGAGTTTGTTTGAAAAATAATTGGTATTTAGCCTTAAGGTACCAGAACCTGTTTACCTCCAAATATAGCAAGCTGAGCTTCTGTTCATCTCCTGTGCCTCGCAGGGTGAGAATGAAAACTCTTTGTATTGGCCCAGTCAAAAACTCCTTATTTATGTCCTTATAGTTTTTTTTTTCACTTTGAGATTTAAGAGAACATTCTTTGTTTATCCGCCTCGTAAAAAATACGGCATTAGCCCCACAGGTTTTTTAAAGTGACGGGCGTCGTCTTCTCTTAAAAATAGCACCCTATGGCTCTGCCACCCTCGCGTATGGAAACGCTCTGATCACAAGTGTTGTCTTGATAAAGGGTTGGTAAATGTTTAATGGCCCTTTTATAGATAATTAATGAAGCAATTAGTCCTGTGTGTAGTTTGTGTGCATGCATTATGTAGCGTCACAAATTTGGAACATTTATCTAGGCTGATGGATAATATATATATATAGTTAAAAAATATATTTAAAAAAATGTTTCCTTTGCAGAATTCCCAAATTAATCATACGTTTACACTGCAGCAACCGAGGAGCTTTAAGGAGATATAAATCACCCCAGAGAGTCCCCAGTGGCGTTATCCTTCTAGAGTTGGTCATTTGAGCTGACTGTGTAGCAGTCTCGAGGTGACGCCTGTCATTTGTCTTAACATATGTTTTCTCTGTCTCCGCAGCCCGCAAAAAGATTTGCTAGCTCGTTCCACGTGGACTTGTCGGAGACAGCGTGAACATTTTTTGCTTTTGTTTTTTTTTTTTCTTTTCGCCTGACCACCAACACTGATGCTAAAGACAACGAAAAAACAAAACTGTACCATCGAGAACCTGGACAACGGGACGACCTTGGTTCAACTCGCGAAACTTTCACAAAGCCTTGGCAGAGGTTGCACGAGGAGGACAGAAACGAGTACTGACTAAACGTAAACCTCTAGACATCCGGGAGAGGAGAAATCCAAGGCCTTATTTCTCTCAGTGGGACTGAGACCAGGGCCAAATCGCTCGACACGAGAAGATTTAAAAGAAAAAATCATCAGCAGAAAGCCGAAAGGGAACGAAGCGGGACAGAGGAATACAAAACAAAACACATGATGAGAAAGGAGACCGTTGAGCTCTCAGAGGTGGTTTGTCTTTTTGACTGAGCAGTGAGCCTCTAGAGATCTGTGTGCCTGTTTACATAAAGACACAAAAAGAAATAAAAAAATAAAAATGAAACATCTTTCTGTACAAACTACAACCGACGTCAAATGGAACCCTTTAGCTATTTCTATGGTCACCACTAAGCCAACTGTACAGAGACTGTGTTTGTGTGTGTGTTGGGGTGGGAGTGGGAGGTGGGGGGGCTGACAGCCAGTGTGAGTACAGAAGACGGAGCACGAGACGATGAGACAAAGGCTGCATCCACACTACTCAGCGGTTTTTTTGGTATTTTTTCTTTCTTGGAAACGCTCATTTACAACAGTGTGCCTGTCATTTACGATAGCCTGGTGACTTTGAGCTGCTGAAACTAAAACATGTCAAAACATCAGCTAATACTATTACTGTGCCGAAAACATAGGGGTTTGGACTTTTTGGCGATACTTCTGACGCTGCCACTGTCGTCGCCATCAAAGTACGCAACGGAGTAGCTGCTCTGCCAGTTGCGTGAAATACATTTTCTGTATATAGGTTTATGTCGATCTTGTTGATGTATAACGTCAATAGTTTTTTCAAATTATAATATAGTCGCAATCGATAGTTTCCGGTCTGTCCTTCAGGATATAAAGTTCGTCGTTTTGTGAATTACAGTCACATGTAAAAAAAACAAGAAACGTTTAGTAACGATTGGCAAGTGGTAACACTGTGGCACCATCACCCCTCTATGACAGTCCAACTGAGTGAGAGTACCTTAGCGCAATTCGTTCATCTCTTTTTTTTTATTTAATTATAAACTGGAACACTATGACATACAGTAGCCTGGTGTTTGGAGTCCTACAAACGAACTCATGTTCTAGTTTTTCTATGTACGATATTGACTTGAGTGAATGTATAAATGGACCTTTGCTGACGTGTCACATGACACATTTTTTTTTTCGGAAAGAAAAGAAGCTGTGATAACAAATGGCGTAGAGCCACGAGCCAGCGTTGGGCTAGCCTGTTCAGATAGAGTCCGCATGCTGCCACGCTGTAGACCATTCCAGCTTCGATGAAATGGACCTCTTACGAAAGGGTTGTTGTACAATTTCCATGTCATGTGGCGGTTCTAACCGTAGGTGGAGAACGAGGGTTCCAACAGTGGGGATCGTAGATTGTACCCATTATTTTCTCCTATATTAACGGAGTAGTGTGGGTGTAGCCAAAGAGCAAACTAGTAGATGTACAGGTATAAAGCAAAGGACACAAGTGAAGGAAAAGGGGACGGGGGTGGGGTGGGGGGGGCAAGAGAAAATGTGCAGTACTATAAATCTGTATCTCTGTTTTGTTTTGACTTTACTGTCTTTTAATACCTTCTCTCTTTTTCGTTTCTGTTGTTCTTTCTGTGTGGTTAAAGTGACTCTAACATATTCAAACTTACAGTTACAGACGGGAACATGGGGTGGAGGAGGAGGAAGTTTAGGGAGCGGCAGAAAAGTTGCGTACGGTGCTTAGAACGTGGAACTGCCAACAATCCTCATGTTCAGTCTGACAATAAAGAATCACAAATGAATTTTCTCATTTCTTACACACTGGTGACTAACAACGGTGGACGTTCTTGACTCGAGCCGACTGCGGAGACGCTGGGATGTGGTTGCTCTGATGCCGCTGGCCTATAAGTAAACAATCAAACACATTCTGTGGTTTTTTAATCATTCTGTGCAAAGTGTTATTGTGCTATTTTAAAAAAAAGCTTATAAATGAATATAAATCTCTATATAAAAAACCCTATATTATATATACATATATATATATACAAAATATATACACGTTTTTTATTTTTCTTTTCTGAAAACTGTGTAACCACTGGTTAGTTCCTACGCCTCATGTTGTCATTCAATCTAATATAAAGTGCTACAAAATCACAACTTGTATTGATTAAAACAGAAAGGGAGGAGGAGGAGGAGGGGCAGGAGGGGGAGGAGGAGCGCTGCAGCCTTAAGAGCAAACCCCTTCACACCGAGCCTGGGTTGAGTCGATGTCATTATTTGGTTCACATTTCTCCCTACAGATGCAGAGCCTTATTGTGTGTAGCAGTGACACCGGTCGAGCTGAGACGCGTTGTGTCGGCTTGTTGTGTATTTTCACGAGCAGTATATGTGTCTGTGTACAGGAAGTGGGGATGGGGAGGGGGGGACTATTACAATCAAGCTAGAATTCAAAGTTTCATGATCACTGGATGAGATGTACTGTGTATATCTGATGTGGACGCACCATAGACCATACATAAGAGACACTGGATTGTGAACTTTGGGTTGCAAAGGGAAGAAACAAACCAGAGGTGATCGGCGTCTCTGGGTCTCCCTGAATGAGACTGTTGTCGGTACCAATCCTGTTTAGAGGAAAATTAAGAATAAAGTCTGACATGTTTTGGTGCCTACTGGCCGTGACTACAAACAAATTCCTATTGGACGCTCTGTCTGTCGATTAAAAAAGGTAGTCAACTTGTACATCATTTTCTCTGGTGCCATTAATGACTTTGTCTTCTTTGAATGGGATTTCAAATATTTATTGGAGTATTTATTCCACTGGCCCTGACAAGTACAGGAGTGCAGCATTTATCTGTGTGCTAGAAATGTATTGGATGAACCGTTTTACTACCACTCCATTATATGTCTGTGGTGGTTAAACATAAGGGGAAGTCAAATACCTTTAAGACAAATTGGGGGAGAAAAAAAATCCCTTGCGCAGGTGTGAGCTCATTAAACTTCTCATTAAATTAATAACCAATGAAAGCTTTTTTTTTTCCTTCACATTGACCAAAAAGTCAACCATGGTACATTTCTTTCTGACTAACCAACATTCTCCAGCATAATTATGTGGTTGTTAAAAGAAATGATTATCTATTTTTGTATGTTTTTAGAACCTTTTTTGTCTTGCCCCTAATGATATGGACTTCCTTCATGGAAATGATTTAGAAGCTGAAAGTCAATTCTTTTCTCCCCAACTTTAATATAATTTTGCTATACAATTTTTAATCATGGGAGTGGGTGGGGGCAGGGGGCACAGTGTTCCTAAAGTGCGGGAAACTCAACAGTTTCTTCGCACGTATGAAATAGGGTCATAATGGGTGTATACATTCTTTTTTATTTCAGCTAAAGTGCTCATTCTGAACTCAAGAATAAATTAGACACATTCAGGAATGGAGTCGCGTTGACGACTGACGACCTAAAATGTGGGTTCTTCATAATTTCCTGGGAAAAGCTGTTTCATTTCTTTTTTTTTTTTTTTTTGGCTTCACCTCATTACAGGCTACTTCTGTGTTGTCACTGTTGCAACCGTACGACAGCGTCCGTTTCTTATGTACAGTCTATGGGACCCACGCAGACGGTACAACATGGCACACGGACGCTCACGTGCGTACACGCAAACACGTGGTCAAGTGGTCATGAATAAACAGTGTAACTGAAGCCGTCCTGGTGTGTGTTTTGTCACGTTCACCTGGAGATAATAGCACGTAAGGTGCCAAATAGAACGAGAGAGCGAGAGGCCGCGGCCTCCGGCGAGGCCACGGGCTCTCGCCGTGCACTGGCGCAGGTGTGCTTTCAGCCGAACGCTAACATCAGCAGGGCAGAGCGCGCTCGCGAGGACTATAAAGGGCGCATTGATGCTACGCAGGTGTAATCTTTACCATGTTCATGTGCCAGGTTTGATGAATTAGCGTTTGCCAATTAGCGTTAAACGCTAAGTGCGCCGCAGGCTGATGGGCAGGTTGATTAAAAATTTGAGCTGATGACGGCACTAAATAGAAATATCAAAGGTTATTACAGGTCTCCCTGTGCACATCGAGATCTGCAGTTATTTATTTCTGCAAAGCACTCTGTGGTTTTACGCAACGAATGCGGCGAACACCTTCCGAGTCTTCTCTGGAACTGTATTTCTCTGCTCAAATATGTGATGTCAGGTGGGTGTCAGGTTTGGGTTACAGTGGTAGAAAGCTGGCGTGGGTTTGCAGAGGACAAACAACAATTTTGTTTTACAAATCCATGTTGCTCCTGTGGGCTAACCGAAGTCTTTTGCTCGCCAGAATTAGACTCTGTAATGTCTTTACAGCTTCGCATCTACAACAACGCTTCGGTAAGAGACACCTGTGTGTGGGATTTTTTCTCTCGTTGATTTAAGTGAAATCATTTGGGAGTTCTATTGTTCCATTGGAAGATTTTTTTTTTTTTTTACTTATCTTCAGATGATGTGCTGTAAAAAAAAATCAAACTGACTCCAAACAGGCGGAGAGAGAAGCAACAGCCACAAAAGACCAGGAATAAATATTTACTTTTAGTCGCAAGGTTGAAACACAGAAAACAGATGGAGTGCTGTTGATTTTGAAAGTTACTTTGGACAAAAGAGTGTGGGTGAATACTTTCATTTAAATTACATATATTTACAAAACAAATTCATGTACATTGACATTTTTTTCTTATTGCTTTGGTAAATCCCTGAAGGGTAGCCACTCTTATTTCTAAACTTTTCACTAAAAGATACTGCTTTTTTATTAATATTGTTTTGGTTTCATTCAAAATGTGCTAGGAAGGTTTCCTCCGAGTCTGAGGTTGTGGATGGAGAATTATTGACAGAAAGAGCGGCAGCACTCCGACATGACGATAACAAGAATAGACCGCGTATAAAAACTGACCAGACACATTTGGGTGCAAAAAATAAAAGCCTAGAAAACAGTTGCTGTGCTGCCCGTCTTGGCTGTCGTTTTGAATATAAGTCTATTGGTAAATACTACTGTCTTCTTCTTCGTCTTGCCGTTCCCTTCAGAGGTCACCAAAGTGGACCGTCTGTCTCAACCTCACTCCATCTCCTGCCCCTCTACACTCCTAAATGAAACTCAAATTATTCTATATGGTTTCTATAGCCTTGATATCTGCCTTTCTTACTCGAACCTGAAACCTTCTGGACCCACGTCTGCTTCCTTAAGCGACCAAGCCACCACTGCCTCCATTTATTTATTTAATAGTGACCTATGTTCAAGTTCTATGACTTTTACTTCACAATACTGGATTGTAGGTTAAGTATAAGGCATTACAGGAAAGAACAACCTATTGTCATCAACATCTGGGATCCCATTGGCCAGTTCATTCTAGTCAACTATTTTTTTATAGTTTTATAGTTTTCAACTATTTCTTTCTAGTTTGGAAAAAAGACCTCAAAGTGTTACCAACACACGTTAAAATAGGTGTCAATTCAAAGGAAAAGTTCTGCAACTTTCCATTTAAAGAGTTGCCTCTGAAGGCAGCCAAGAGTTGTTGGTTTACTTCCCTGGCTTCACGTTGCAGACCAGAAAAAAGTCCTGCCTTCCCCCCCGCCCCTCCAAAGTCTACAATCCCTACTCTAGAACCTCAGCACGAACGCTCCAGCTATTTTTACTGAAGACTTTGGGCCATGAATTTTTAATCAAAATTGATTGAGTTCAAGATGTAACCGCTGAGGTTGTGTTCTACTTTTTTCAATGCCTGACCTCAATAACTCATCAAAAGAAAAGCAGGAAAAGAAGATTGAAAAGATTTTTTTTTCTTTCCCTGCGTCTGCTCCTCTGTTCATTTCCTCCACAAACCACTGATGCCATGGCTCAAATATTCCACTCCCAGCCTTTCACTTCGATGTGATCCTCACATGGCAGCTGGCACAAGTTCACGGACAGACATAGAAGAAGGGCAGTGGAAATGCACAGCTAAGAATGAGGTCAGGGATCACGAGGGAGACAAAGACGTTCTTCACTGAGGAGTCTTAAAATAGGCAGATCTGATTAGGCCTATCACAAGTGAAGTCCCTGTGATGACCAGCAGTTCATGTGACAAGTGCATGTGATTTAAAAAAAAAAAATTGGTTTGTGGGACTTATATGAGATAGAGAGAAAAGGTTGAAGATGACATTTTTGTCATCAACAATTTTGAATTACTGCATAGGGAAAAATATATAACTAGAATTATTTATTAAATATATAATATATGGATTTTCTAAACTTTTGTTAAAATAACTCGGCTGATGGAAATACTGACGTTCAGATTTTGGATGATCAAATGTCTGACACACAAATTAGCCGAAGGCTACAGTGAAGCTGCGCAGCTGTTCTGTCACATGTGAAGGCGGTGTGAAAAGACGAGCTTTTCAACCAAAGAGTTGTTAATATGTTTGACAGCAATTCTAAAACATTTTTCTCCTGGCTTCATAACCGTGCAAAAAAAAAAAAAAAAGATCTATGTGACTAAAAACGTATTAATTATCTTTCTGATTATAATCACTGATATGTTTATATTTATTGTGTTATTGGCTGAGAGACGGTAATAAAGCGGAGAAGGAATTCACTTCTCTACAACACATTCAAACGGAGTTTTCAGCAGTTCTGGGCTAATTATGTTATTTGAAGCTCACGTCTATTTGTGAAACTGGAAATTTGTATTTATTACATTTTTAATTTGTTAAAACATATTTAATTTCTTTTTACATTTCTGCAATTTTTGACACTCAATTTTAGATTTCATGAACATTTTTACTTATTGTTTTTTTCATGTCCCAAACTGGGTTTTTGGTTCAGATTATATCACTTACCAGTGAAATCAAATATTGTTTGAGCAACAGGGATGTCAGATAATATCGGCCCAATATTAGCATAATTATGTAATATTGGTAAGAATCGTTATCAGTTTTTCCTCCATTATGGAAAACCCGATAACACAATGCCTGGGAATCGCTCAGATGATGTGACCTAAAAAATAGTTTTGAAGTGAAAGTCAAAGTGAAACTATTATTTGTATTGCACACAA